GTGTACAAGGATGCAAAGATGTTGCTGGTGTCGCTCTAAGAGGCGAGATACTGAAGCTAAACTGTAGAGACGTTGGGAGGAGAATGTTTGATTTTTGCGAAACAGGATTTTTAGAAGCAGATGCTGGTGTATTTCCAGAGTTTGAACAAGGGCCTGAGACAGACCGCACTACGCTGTGTCACAGTAATCAAATATAGGTAGAATATACGACGTAAAGAACAATTTTCGGCAATGGTCATTTAAATGGTGGCAGTGAGGTTGCAACATGCCAAGGGAGGAGCTAGCTCGCTTGCATACTGACTGGACCTGTGGGGACCAGGACATATGGCTGTCGAATATAACACCAAGGTGTTTGTGTTCATGAACAATTTCAACGTTAGCATTGGCTCCTGGAAAGTGCAACGGCGGAGTAGGCGGCGATGGGCTGATGAACATTGCTTCGGTCTTCGCGATGTTGGGCCTCAGCTTCCAAGCTTCCATCCATGCTATGGTGGAGTTAATGCCGGTCTGCATGGAGGTAACGAGGTTGGACGGCGAGCTGTCAGAGCACAACAGTGCAGTATCATCAGCAAAAAGGCTGACGTCTGGAACTAGAGAGGGCAGATCGTTCACATAAGTTAGGAAAAGGAGTGGACCCAGTATGGACCCCCGTGGAACACCAGACACTACAGGTAAAGGATCGGACAAGGAAGCATAGACACGGACAGTTTGATGACGGGACGACAAATATGACGACAGCCACTGCAGAGCTGTACCACGTACTAGAAAAATGTACTCAAGCTTTGCAAGTAGGCCTCGATGCCAGACTGTATCAAACGCTTTTGACAGATCAAAAAAGACAAGACCTACATGCTTCTTCAGGTTACGATGTCCGTAAATATCCTTGATTAAGCGTGTCAATTGCAAAGTAGTTGAGTCGCCACGACAGAAGCCGGATTGTGCAGAGGAGAGGGCAGGGGTGACATGGTGGTAGAGAGATTCATAGAAGATGCGTTCACAGACCTTGGATATAGTTGGTAGGAGGGAGATGGGCCTGTAATTAACAGCTTGGGAGCGTTGTCCTTTCTTAAAGATCGGGACAACAATAGCAGATTTCCACGCAGATGGGAAGACTCCTGCACGATATGACAAGTTGAAGAGCAAGCACAGGGGATACGACAAGGAAGGCACCAGCAGTTTAAGGACTTCATTTGGAATACCGTCTTTTCCAGGAGACTTGCAGCTCTTAAGACGTTTCAGTTGTTTGCGGACCACACCAGTTGTTGTAAAGACCTCCAGAAGTGGAGCGCGCAGCTCTGGAGCTGGGTGCAGGGGCGGGATAACCCAGTTCGGATCGTCGGGAAGGCCGGGAGAGACAAACTGTTTGTTCAGAGTGTCCGCAATGGACTTTGCCTCAGACTGACGGTTGCCATCAGGATCAATCAAGCACTGGATTGGGGCGCGAGAGACACTGGGACGCTGGGTGCGAATGAACTGATAGAGAGAAGGACGATTGGGTGATGAGATTGTTGCAGAGAGGGAGCTGATGTAAGAGCGGTAGGTTTTACGGGATAGGTATTTGACAAAGTTGCGTTGAACTCGGTAGGCCTCCATATTGACAGGTGTTGGAAATTTTCGGCTGACACTGAAGAGGTCTCGTTTACGTTTCACCGCAGATACGAGGACAGTCGACACCCAGGGTGGATTGGATGTCACAGACGATGTGCGTGTGTTTGACCGACAAGAATGGGTGGAAAAATCAGCGAGGTGGTGCTGGAAGGTTTGTTCCAGGACGATTGAAAATCGATCGACTGCGTCGTCAACAGTTGGGGAATTGCCTGGGCGTAGAAATGACCAGTCACAATGAGAGAGATCGGAATTAAGAGAGTCCCAGCAGTGAGAGGGGACATGACGATAGCGGTAAGGGAAATGTTTGCGTGGTGCTTGCTGCAGATGTTGGCCAGGCGATGGTGAGAGCTCGAACCGACATGACACGGTCAGATGATCCGAGGATCCAAGAGCGCAAGTCGTGTAAATATCCGTTGCAAGCTGGGGGTTGTTGACGAAAAGAAGGTCTAAGCACGACTGGGTCCCTGCAGGTGTTGTGTGCGTTGGGGTATTCACAAGCTGCTCTAGTCCGAAGCAGGTGAGGTGGCGGTAGAGTGCAGCTCCCGCGGGGGACGTTGAGTCAGTTGGGCACCAGTGCTGGTGCTTACAGTTGAAGTCTCCAGCCAGTATGACGTGGTACGAGGACATGGGGATAGTGACCAGGGCATCGGTGAGCATGTTACAGAAGTGATTTATCTCTGTGCTTTTAGCAGAGGGTGGGCGATAGGCACTACAGACAACAATAGGCTTTGGGGAGCCGGAACAAGGTTTAAGCTCCACCTACACTGTTTCACAGGTAGGACGACTGAGGTCGTTGCGAAGTTGGATACAACTGAAACGATGATCACGAACGAGAATAGCGACTCCACCATATCCCCTGGAGGCGGTACCAGACTTGTTTTCGTTAGGAGGTCGATCACGCCGAAAGGTGGTGTATCCAGAGATACTAAGAGCGACACTTGGAGCTAACCAGGTTTCACTGAGGCAGATAATGTCAGGTCTGTGGATCTCGGCAATAGCCGACAATTCTGCGGATTTGTTGAGAACGGAGCGGCAGTTAATGGAGAACAAGTTTAGCTTTTCCTGGAAGCGCGGGTAGTAGGGCCGAGCCAGTGGATTTAGGTGGGAATTGGCCATCATTCGCTAGCTGTTGCGACATCGTTTGTGCTGGTGCCAAAGCTGTCACTTTTGAAGCGCCAGGGTCGGATGGTGTGGGAAAGCATGTCAGGCCAGAATGCCTTATTGGCTACTTTCTCCTCGTCGGCTGCCTCCACAGTCACAGTTGTTGTTGTTGCTATAAAGCATTTCCAGAAAGAAGAAGTGAAATTCTCAGCAAACGATTTGTAAAAAATAGTCAAACAATCCACAAAAAGCAAAAAAGCAAAACATTTTTTTTTTAGAAGTGAAATCATGGATGCGTGGTTTGATGACGACTACTCCACAAACAAAGAAGAAGAAATGATGGATACATGGATAGATGATGAACACTCTACCAGGAAAGATAAGATGATAGCGGACTACATTGACTATAGAAACCAGGAATGGTTTCCTACAGATATAGAATTGATGATTTTGGAAATGAAGTAACTCCAGAGGATCTTGAAGTGTATGAGATGAAGAAAAATGATCTGCATGATACCACATCTTTCTTCGAAGAAATAGAAAAATCCAAAACCAGAACAGGAATCGAAACAAGGTTGGAGATAACCCTGAACAAGGTTGGTTTACCAAAATATCTTAGCAAAACCCCATTCAACAATCTTGTTGATGAAATTCAGCGGATCAAGGTAGTAGCAAATAAGGAGAAAAAGTCAAAGTGAGTTATCCATTCCTACTTTCGAAACTCATTGATGATGAAGATGATGTGATCAAGATCAAACCATTCATTCCAAAGTGTAAAACATCACAACAAAGACTTGATGCTATATGGGAGGATTATAGAAAATCGAATGTGTAAGAAAAAGTAAAAAAATGTTTTTCTTTCTTTTTCCTTTTTTTCCTTTTTTTTCCTTTTTTCTTTCTCATGATCACTGGACAAACTACTTCATCATATCCGGAGCATAACTCATGAATGAAATGCTGCTATCAAACCCCTCCTCAGCCAGATATCTTGGTATTTCATGGTGTCCGAACGCTAACGTGCTACATCCATCTTCTGTGATGTATCGTTTTGTGTCCAATGGTGATAAGGCTATCAGTTTTCTTGAGCACTGCTGTTTTCACCCCCTTTGCTCTTTTTCCGCTTTCCTCACCAGAGTAACTGTACATCTTGGAACGACGTCCCACAAACTCAGTTATCAGTTCCCACCGAGTTCATCTTTGAACAGGCCAACAACTTTCTTGTTTTTCTCGGAATATAACGGATGTGATTGATCATAATTGCTTGTATCATACTTCTCAAGAAACTCACTCATGTCATCAAACAGATTATCAGTAAAGAAATGAAGAACCAAGCTGTCTGTATCGGTGTACAGGAGTCTCACATCAGAGCCATACATCACTTTCAGGTGATTGTAGTAAAAGTCATACATGAGTGTCTTTGAGAGATCCAAAATCGACATTCCAACATATATGGGCTTGTTGAGGACGACCTTTGTCCTGTTACTTTGTACCCCGACCAGGTCATCGTTGAAGATCACATGGCGGTTGTACGTTGGTTTGGCAACAAGCTGTTTGATTTTCTTCTCCTCACGACTTCTCAACAATTTTATGTTGACTCTCCTCCGAACGTTCTCCATAGTTTTCCCGAACACCGCATTGTTCATCAGTTTATAGAAGTCCTTAGAGAAATCATCCTTTGCCTTCTTCCGGAGGTCTGTATTCTTCTCGATGTAGTTTCTCATCCACGGTGTCTGAGTAAATTTCAGAGCACGATGAATTTTGACACAACGTAGTCCGAGCTGAGTGTAGAGTTTCAAGTTTCGGTAATGGAGAACGTACTTTGTCTTGTCCCTCAAATTTGGTACAAGTTTGAGAGCATCTACTCCGGAAGAATTGAGTTTATCAACAAGCTCCTGCTGGTATGGAGATAGCATGTCCTCATTGACGGAAAGACGTTCCGGAGCAACTGGATAATCGTTGTGCTCCTCATGAAGTTCGTGTGGATAATCCAGATCACACTCGACGATATACCCCGATGAGGAATCATCTTGAGTATTCAGTATCTTGTTCAGGAGTTTCTCTGATGGTTTCTCCCACCGAAAATCAGACACTGGGAGATGCTGTGACATTGCCCAACCATAGAGATTGTTGGCATCGAGATACTGGATAAATGACGATGGCTGATCAGCATCAAATTTCTCCTGATAGTGATTATTAGCAGCAGCATATCGTTGTGAGACCATCGACACACCGCCTCTCATTCCTGATTCTACAAACAAGTGCTGATCATAGCCTGTTAGTAATTACAAGTCATGATAATCACCAAGAGCATCAGTATCTCTAGTGATTGGCTTCGGATGTTAGAGCCACAAGTTGCCACCATCTTGGGTACATGGTCCCTTACCGTCAACCAGACCAAGACAGAATTCACAGCCATCCAGCGAGAGGCCGATCGTGCTGATGAGCCATGGCGTATGGTCAAGAAACTCGGCTCTCTCCTTGGTGATGCAGAGGATGTCACCCGCAGAAAGCAGCTTGCGGCGATAGCGTTTAAGTCCCTCTGCCAGTTATGGAAGAGAAGAGACCAAGTGAGTCTGGAGGTGCGCGTCCGGCTGTATAACTGCTTCGTGTTACCTGTCTTGCTTTACAACTGCTCCACATGGGGCATCACTCGACAGACAATTGAAGCGCTGGAATCGTATCATCGGCGGCAACTTCGGCATATCTTGGGTATCAGGTGGCCCAACCGACTGTCGAACGATTTGGTTTTTGAGCGCTGCAGTGCTGCTCCACTTGGCAACATTCTGGTGAATGCAAGATGGCGGTTGTTTGGCCACATCCTGCAATCAGATGAGCACACACCGGCTAGGGAGGCCATGAGTGGATTCTTTGGCTGCTCCGTGCCGGGATACCGTGGGCGGCCGCGGATCACGCTACCAGTCCTGCTGAATCAAGACGCGGAGCGAGTCGGCTGCCGTCTGAGGACTCCAAGGGACTTGCAGCTGATGGCTCAGCGAGCACTGGATCGCCGTGAATGGACATATCTGTGCAACGCAGTTACAGATGCGTACAAGGCAGAGTACTGGTGAAGGAAGTTGGCACTGCAATGGTTTGAGCTACATTCTTTGTTGTTGGTACTCTGATTATCCATATTATCCGTATTCACATGGCCTTTGCCATTCATTCAGTATATTAATGTCATCAATAATGATATTTAAAGAGTCAGCGTGGAGAAAGCAATTTTATTAGTGCAATTAGGAGTATAATCGATGCAGACATGGCCAGACAACAACAAGTTCGTGGAATTTTTAAGGATTTTTATGTTATTCAAAATCGATTTTCGTGTTCCGCTCATCAGTGAATAGTATCGGAACTGAGGGTACTGTGTACAAAAATAGAACATTTTATAACAGCATAATTAATTAAAAGTGTGAACAACAAAGGAAGTGCTACAGCATTACATAATAGGTGTCAAACATAGTGCTAACGTATATAACTGAGTGCAGCCACAAAGCAAGAAGTGATACAGTGCAACATGACACAACATTTACATCTGATAACCAGCTACGAGAACAACTTTAGCGCGACTACGTGCTTCTTTTGTTTACAAAGAACAGGATTATGCACACGAATACATACAGCTTCCAGAACCTTCAGCTGCTTAACATAACTTGCACGGCACAAAACAGAAAAGTGAGAATCATCGTACACACTAAGACAATCTGGACGTGATAACAAGTGACAAAATACAGCTGACTTTTTGCTCACGTCGCTCTCTTCCGTCTCATCCCGCTCCTTTCCTTCGACCTCCTCCGCCCTATCCTCGTCCTCCGTCTCATCTTCATCATCATCGTCCTCATCACCACCATCATCATCATCATCAGTCACTTCCTCATCATCCGTTTGATGCTCAGTCTCACTGCACTCCTTATCAGCCTCCAACATGGCTCCATCATCTCCACCAGCATCACAAGTCGTTTGACCGCTGCTCCGCGTCACCGCGCTAACATCCAGCTTACTACCGTCCAAAAGGAACTACTTTGCCGAGGCACGGACTTCGGTATTCCTCCAAGCAGCAACAAGAAAGAGGTCATCCTAACAGAATTTGAATTATTTCACAAAAAACTCATCAACCTTACGCCAGTATCTAATGCCCAACAAGCCGTATGCACTGCCAGTGTTAGGGCAATAGCGGAGGAGCATGCCGAGAAGCCTCCTGATCGTAGCACATTCTCCTTATCTCGTGAACATCTTAAAACTCGCCAGGAACTCATTAAAAACAATGCGATCATTATCACCCGACCTGACAAAGGACGGGCCACAGTCATCCTCACTAGAGAGGAATACCTTTCTAAAATGGCAGTCATCCTTGATGATACCTCGAAGTTCTCAAAATTAGGCCCAGTCGCGACTCATGACAACACCGTAAAAGTAGAGAAGAACCTAGTTACGTATCTCAAGCGACTAAAAGCCGAAAAGGAAATTACCAATGGCGAGTTTCTTAAAATCAAGCCAATGGGTTCCATCCGTCCACGACTTTATGGCTTGCCAAAAATACATAAAACCAATTGTCCTTTGCGACCGATACTATCAATGGTTTCATCTCCACAGTACAGCATTTCTAAGTGGCTCTGTGTTATTCTCGGGGTCGTACAAAGTTATTACTGTACGCGCACAGTGAAAGACAGTTTCCAGTTTGTAGATATCTTGCGCTCTCATCAGGTTCCCGCTAGTGCTCATATGTGTTCATTTGACGTAGTATCATTGTTCACGAACGTACCATTGGATGAGACAATCGATATTATTTTGTGCTGATGTACTGTATCGAAATGATTCGGTAGATACTCCTTGGTTGTCGGAGACAGCCTTCCGTAAGTTAATGTCCTTGGTCACTACTGGCGTAGAGTTCTCGTTCAACGACATAATGTATCGGCAGGTGGACGGTGTGGCCATGGGGTCCCCCCTTGGACCCGTTTTGGCAAATATATTCGTTGGATACTGTGAATCCTTGATCAATGAGTCGATGTGGCCTAAGGTATACGTTCGTTTCGTCGATGATTCTTGTACATATTTTGATTCCGTTGAGCAATGTGACACATTCTTTCATCATCTAAACAACCTACACCCAGCGCTTAGATACACATGTGAGCATGAGCATGACAACAAACTCGCCTTTCTGGATGTGCAGGTAGAAAAATCTAATAACAGCGTCGTAACATCAGTCTACCGAAAGCCCACTTTCACTGGGCAGTACATCGTCTATGATTCATATTGCTCACATCAATACAAGGTGAACCTGGTACGTAACCTGGTGGGGAGAGCAAAGCGGCTCTGTTCTGAAACGAAGCTAAACGACGAGCTGGAATTTCTCAGATCAATATTCCTTAAGAATGGATACCCACATGACTTATTGAACAAAATACTGAAGCAAGAATCTAATAACAAAGATACATTCACAGGTCCTCGGAAGTGTCCTATCTACTTATGCCTGCCTTGGAAAGGCAACGCGTCTGTCAGCATGTCCAGAGCTATCAAGACCCTAGTCAATAAAACATACTTTGCTGCCCACTTCATCCCCGTGTTCACCACGGTACGTGCGTTCATGGTGAGGAAGGATGTCCTACCTCCCCAGCTTTCAAGCCATTTGGTTTATCTCTTTGAGTGCCGGAATTGTGCTGCCCGGTACGTTGGTAGGACTCTTCAACACCTGAACGCACGTATCAGACAACATGTGCCGTTGCACTTATTACCACCAGCAGCCAGAGCAAAGCGGCCAAAGCGTGGTAGGCCGTGTAAGAACCCAGTTAGCTCAGTAGACAAACACGCTGTGCCGACAGCGCCGCCTGTTCCCGTGCCACCACCGGCCCCACCACCTGGGGTGCCGTGGGTGGCTGGGGCTGGGGTGGGTTTGCCATCATTGACCTGGCCACCACTTCTCGACCCACTGCAAACGGCAGCGGAGCCTACTCTAGCACAACATCATCGTCCCGGAATGGAGGAGGGGCCACCGAGAGACAATGAACCTTCACCTCGGCAGTTGCCCTTGCCTCCACCTGAGCCACCCCCTTTACCTTTGGTGACTACCGAGACGGTGGTCCCCCCCCGTGCTGGGATCCACGGTGCCGACTGTGTCTGGACAGAGAGGGAGATCATCGACAAACCAAAATGAAACCAATATCCTCACTCATAGACCCAGAAGAAGCACAGCAAACTATTCACTTGAAATTTATGCACGGAATGGACTTGGCCCACGCAAAATGGACAATGGAAATGGGTGTGCAGTAGCAGAGAACCCAGCAACGGTGACGCGGAGCAGCGGTCAAACGACTTGTGATGCTGGTGGAGATGATGGAGCCATGTTGGAGGCTGATAAGGAGTGCAGTGAGACTGAGCATCAAACGGATGATGAGGAAGTGACTGATGATGATGATGATGGTGGTGATGAGGACGATGATGATGAAGATGAGACGGAGGACGAGGATAGGGCGGAGGAGGTCGAAGGAAAGGAGCGGGATGAGACGGAAGAGAGCGACGTGAGCAAAAAGTCAGCTGTATTTTGTCACTTGTTATCACGTCCAGATTGTCTTAGTGTGTACGATGATTCTCACTTTTCTGTTTTGTGCCGTGCAAGTTATGTTAAGCAGTTGAAGGTTCTGGAAGCTGTATGTATTCGTGTGCATAATCCTGTTCTTTGTAAACAAAAGAAGCACGTAGTCGCGCTAAAGTTGTTCTCGTAGCTGGTTATCAGATGTAAATGTTGTGTCATGTTGCACTGTATCACTTCTTGCTTTGTGGCTGCACTCAGTTATATACGTTAGCACTATGTTTGACACCTATTATGTAATGCTGTAGCACTTCCTTTGTTGTTCACACTTTTAATTAATTATGCTGTTATAAAATGTTCTATTTTTGTACACAGTACCCTCAGTTCCGATACTATTCACTGATGAGCGGAACACGAAAATCGATTTTGAATAACATAAAAATCCTTAAAAATTCCACGAACTCGTTGTTGTCTGGCCATGTCTGCATCGATTATACTCCTAATTGCACTAATAATGATATTCTTGTTTGTATTAGTTCATGTGACACCATTTTCTATTTTTCTTAGCCTGCCTGCCTGCTGGCGGCCTTTTTTCGCATGGTTCGGTGCAAGCGAATTTGGGCGAGCCCATTGACGCGGGAGCACAAATAATAATAATAATAATGATAATTACCAAGAGTCTGACAGTCGAATTTCACCCACATTGTCTCAGCATGTTTGTAGTCATCGTCACTCACCCCCTCATCAGACAGTGAAGAATAGAACTTACTCTGTGCTGGTAGCTGAGTCTCATCGAACCTGGAGAAGCTGTTCATGTACTCATAGGGGTATACTCCTTTCCTCATCAACAGCTGATGGTTTGACAACGTCTTGGTGAAAATGAATGAGTCATCTGGTGTCGTTTTCACCAGTCTATCAAGTGAGGCATTGAGAAACTGACAGCTGTCGATGAACCGGAACTGTCTCCATGTGAATGAGATGAATTTCTCCATGTTGTTGGGAATGACTGATATCTCACCCACAGTTTTACTCTTACACACCGTCCTTATCCGTGTATGTGACGGTCTCAACATCTGTCTTGCCGATTGCTCCGATGAGATGATGACTGTCATAGCCTTTCAGGTTGTGAAAAACCACAGGGATGTGCTGCTTGTATGGATAAATTCTGAGTTTGATGTTACAGTCATTGTGTGCGGCACCGCGGAAATCACCAGTGATGTGATCGTGATCACGGACTCTATCATCACCAAGTTTCTTTTTACAAATCCAACAGTCTTCTGTCTCTCTGAACAATTTTTCTTGATCCTTAGAGAGATCCATCGGTGCTGGATTATTGAGTGCTGATTGGATTTTCTTCTCCTCAGCTTTGAGTTTATCAAAGAATACATCCATGGCATCAGCACCTCGATAGAAACACTGACTTGTCATCACTCCGTCAGAACGCACCACGACGTAACCAAAACCACAAGGAACATGCTGTGAATCCCGGCTGGTTTGTTGGCTTTTCACTCCATCAATTTTCTTGATCAGTGCCTCAGTGTCAGC